AAAAACAGCCAGTGCTCTTAACCTCTGAGCCATCTCTCTAGCCCCAACCCAATCTGTTTTAACAGGGCCAAATATGCTGCTGTGTTGAAACTAAATTGAGGTACTCAAGTGTGGAAGCTGGGAGATAGATAATTCAGGTATGCGGATGGGAGCTTGAATAGGAAGATGACCTAAATAAGTGACACGAAGTTATAAGGCTCTGGATATTCTTTAAAAATAGACACATTGAGTGCTGGGTGTGGTGGTACACACCCTGGTCTACAGAGTGAGTTCCAGCACAGCCAGGCCTATAAGGAGAAACCCTGTCTCATAACACAGTATCAAAAATCAGATACAATGTTGGTAACAGATTGGTTTGTGGTGGGAAAAAAAGGAAAGGACTCAAGGATCACTGTATAATGTCTGAGATAAGCAGCTGCAAGAACAGTGCTGAAGAACAGGCTAGAGAGATCGGCAGCTGAGTTTTAGATCTAGTAAACTCGAGATCTCATTAGACAATCAAGCGGACATGTTGAGCAGGCAGTTGATATAAGAGTCTTAAGTACAAATGAAATGAAATAGCTGGAGAGGTACAGAACTGATTTTAAATTTATTTTTTTTCCACACTGTAAAACTGAATACATATATCCAACACTTAAACAAATCCAAATATGGGCCGTGTGTGTTGTATTGCATGCCTTTAATCCCCATTCTAGTGAAGCAGAGAGGCAGGAGGAATTTGTAAGTTTGAGCCTATCTGGTCTACACAGTGAATTCCAAGCCAGCCAGGGCTACATAGTAAAACCCTATTTCAAAAAAGCAAAAACAAAACCCCAAATACCCAAATATGATATATACTTTAGTGGGTTGATGACAGAACAGGGGGAATAGTTACTTATACAAACTGGTATTGTTTGAATTACTTATGTAAATTTATACAACTCAGTTTGTTAAAAAATTATCTTAGCATCTCCTTTTCTGAACTATGCAATATAACAACAGACAAACTAATATTGAACCAGATAGCATGTTGTTGCTGTTTTGGGCAAGTTCTCACATATTACAAGCTGGTTTGGACTCTGAACTTCCTGCCTCCAGCTCCCAAGTGCTAGGGGTTACAGGCAATGTATGCTACTACAATCAGCAAAATTGTGTAATAGTTTTAAACTTCTTTTTTTTGTTTTTTTGAGACAAGGTTTCACTGTGGAGTTCTGGCACTTACTCTGTAGACCAGACTGGCCTTGAACTCACAGAGATCTGCCTGCCTTTGCCTCCCGAGTGCTGGGATTAAAGGCATGCGCCACCACTGCCTGGTAGTTTTAAACTTCTTTTGCTGAAGACAACTCAAATGAATTCTAACAAACTATATAACTCCTTGTGAATTTTAAATTAACATTTAAAGGTTAAAATAAATGAAAAGGGTATAATTTCCAATGTGCTACATTATCAACACTTAAACATTTTGATATTCAATGGTAATGATTTTTAGGCAGAACATTGCTTTGACTGGCCTGGAACATGCTATGTAGATTAGACAATCTTCCTGCCTGTCTCCCAAGTGTTGGGGTCATAGGCACATGCCACCCACCATGCCTGGCTACAAATTTTTTTAGAAAGCATCTTGTTTTTTGAGACAGGGTTTCTCTGTGTAGCTTTTGGAGCCTTTCCTGGAACTCACTCTGTAGACCAGGTTGGCCTCGAACTCACAGAGATTCACCTGGCTCTGCCTCCTGAGTGCTGGGATTAAAGGTGTGTGCCACCATCGCCCAGCAGAAAGCATCTTGTTTAATGTAAAAGTCTTTTTGTTTCTTAATCTCCCCTAGGAAACTAATAGATTATTCTCTTGGTGAGAGTGGTAACCTCTCCTTTCATGGATCTGTTTTTCCCAGTGCACCCCACCCTGGTATGTTTTGACCTTTCATTTCTATCAGACTTCTTTTCTAATGTCTGGTGATTGAGAGACAATTTGTCTTATTCAGACTAAATGGGAGACTAGTAAATTGTCTGATTCATTGTTTGTCAATTGTACAGTGACACTCTTTCCTCCTGGTCTGGTAAGATTTCCTAGAGAAGGCTGGACTTGTAGGAAGAAATCAGGTTTGGCTACTGATATCTGGGAATCAAAAAGAGAACAGGCAGAACACTTGTTCTAGGGATTGGCCCTAGGTCTAATTCCTAACACTGCCCCCTCCCCCGCAAAACTGTGTGCACTGGGCAGCACAGCTGACCATCATCTGGTAAGTTCCCAGCCACCCAGTCCCGCTGTTTTGGAAAGATGTCCAAGTCCTAGACACAGCAGAATTCCCCAGCCAGAGATGGGCATTTCCGAAAGTCCTTCTGCCAGTGGCACTGGCTAGGAGAGGGATTCACAAAATAGCTTTCCCAGTGCAGGAACTGACAATTTCTGAAACCAATCTCTGTATACTTTTGAAAGTTCTGTGACGTACACGTGATGCTTTTCATTGGCAATTAATGATTTAGTCTTTTTGCTTTCTCCTAAAGCCCATCATCAGTTCTCCACTTGCTTTCCAACTTTCAAAAGTGTGACTACTGTCTTCTTTCTCTGTCTGCCTTTTTAGTTTAGACTTCATGAAAATATTTCCTTACTGTAGTTTTAATGGGGTTGAAGAGACAAAAAAAAAAAAAATCTGTCACTTTAACCCAAAACCTACCTAGTAATTTTAATAAGAGTTTTTAATCTGTCAAAGACTTTATATTGGTACATTTGAGCAGATGCAAATTACCATCTCAATTGGAAGGGAAAAAAAAGAAATGGAAAAATGCACTGTGGTTTTTTTTTTTCATTAATTTTAAACTGGTAATAAAAAGTAAACTCTGGCCAAGTGGTGGTGACTCATACCTTTAATCCCAGCACTCGGGAGGCAGAGGCAGAGGGAGGTGGATCTCTGTGAGTTCGAGGCCAGCTTGGTCTACAAAGTGAGTTCCAGGACAGGCTCCAAAGCTACACAGAGAAACCCTGTCTCGAAAAACCAGAAAAAAAAAATTTTTTTTTTAAATACACTCTTTTAGATTTGAATAGATTAAACTTGCTTTGTTGAAAGACTGAGCTTGTTTTGCTAGTAGAGAAGTTAAGGATGTTATTGAATATCAGACCGAGTCTTGGAACTGTAAGAATGCCCTAGTTAAATGCTTTCTTTTATAAGGGTTGTCTCTTCACAGCAGTAGAACAGTGACTAAGACACTATGAGTAATAAAGCATTTTGGTTAGACACAGGCTTGTTGTAAGTTACTGCCTAGTTTTGAATGAGGGAAGGTGAAAAAGTTGAGGAATCAGATATGGTTTGGAGACCTGTCTTCATACTTATTTCCTGTAACTGATCTTGAGGGAAGAGTTGTAGGTGTTAAGACATATTCACTTTTACTCTTTTGTTCCAATTTTATGATGTAAAGGTTGCATAAGTGGTTATGGGAAAACTAGTCTGAAACCTTTTTTTTTTCTCTGAAATCTTAAGTTAAAGTAACTTTGCTAAATATGAGACCTAACAGGTTACTTATACAAATTATTTAAAAGCCTGTTTCTGCTGGCGGTGGTGGCGCATGTCTTTAATCCCAGCACTCTGGAGGCAGGGGTAGGCGGATCACTGTGAGTTTGAGGCCAGCCTGGTCTACAAAGCTAGTTCCAGGACAGCTAGGGATGTTACACAGAGAAACCCTGTCTAGAACCCCACCCCTCCAACAAAAAGCCCATACCTGTAAAGGGGAAATTAAAATATCTACTTTATAATATTTTAAAGACTAAATGACATACTAATACATGCACACAGAATCAATTTGCATACTAGTTAAGACATACTTTTAAACTATTCATCTATTCATAGATGAATTTATATTCATTCAAATTTATATTTTATTGTTTTCAGCTAAGTGCTTTTTTTGAGACAGTCTCTCTAGTTAGTTCTGGAACTCAAAGAGATCCTCCTGCCTCTGCCTCTCCAATGCTGGGATTAAAGGCATGTATCACCAAGCCTGGCCTCAGCTAATTACTTTTAAAATGTTATTTTTCTCTTTTTTGTTTTGTGCTAGGGATTGCCCCTAGGGTTGGTGCTTAAGTGCTCTACTACTAAACTATATCTGCAGCCCTAACTTTTACCTTCCAACTGTTTGATTCCACTTAAAGAGTTTTATGCAAAAATTCTTTTTGAGCCAGTTCTTTTTTTTTTTTTGAAACAGGGTTTCTCTGTGTTGCCCTGGCTGTCCTGAAACTCACTCTGTAGACCAGGTTGACCTTGAACTCACAGAGATCGCCTGCCTCTGCCTCTGCCTCTTGAGGGCTGGGATTAAAGGAGTGCACCAGTACATCTGGCCTCAGTTAATTTTAACCTATATAAATCTTACAACATGTATCTTTTGAGTTATAAAGCAAAATTCAGTAGACATTTATGTTTCAACTTGAAGTCCTCAACTGGGATCAGAATATAGATATTCATTTAAAACTTTAATAACTATTTTGCAGCAGAAAATACAGGCATGCAAGAGAAAATTATTTGAAAGCACAGATAATAGTCACATATTTTCCATTAACTAGTAATGGCTTTTTTTTTTTTTTTTTTGGAGGGGGGTCCTGCTTTTCTGTACTACTGTTCACATAAATCACTGAGTGCTAATCATCATTTGCAACTGTAAAGTTCTCATCAAATACTACACTCATTGTATACTTTAAAGGCTGAACTAGGGAAATATTATTATTAATTTTTTGTTCAAGACAGGTTTTCTCTGTGTACTTTTGGTGCCTGTCCTGGATCTTGCTCTGTAGCCCAGGCTGGCCTCGAACTCACAAGGATCCGCCTGGCTCTGCCTCCCGAGTGCTGGGATTAAAGGCGTGCACCACCATCGCCTGGCAAGAAATATTATTTTTTTAATAAGCTAGTACTAGTTATTAGTTAGTATCCTTGCACAGAAACTTAGAATGTATCCCACAAGAGGTATTATTAGGGCCTTTAAAGTATCCTTAAGTGGTTCTCAAAAAGTCATGTATGAAGGTTTAACAGAACTGAACTTACTCCATGCCCTGTGCAGTCTGCCGAGCAATATCTATAAGTTTGATCATCTCAAATTTGGTCTCAATGATGTGGAGATGGTGATACAGGCTGGAGCCCTCACACCACTGGGTAACAATAGCCAGCTGTGGCTTTGTTGAATAGCCCATGAAAAGTAGGATATTCACATGTCGTGTTTTCCTGTAAAAAAGAAATGTGACAATGAGTAACAATTCTTTAAAGAGAGCCCAATCAGTCTACCAATACTATGCTCTCAGTAAAAAGTACTAGAAACAACATAAGGTTAACCCGTAGTTATCTAGTCGAACCTACAACTCTATTCAGAAATATATTATTCAAATATATTGAGTAAGGAAGTAGAGGGTGCTTTTGTTTAAGTGGTTCTATTAGGACATATTAGGAAGTCTTCCTATGTGAAAGCAAAACTATTTTCCTCTAACCTCAACAACTAGCTTCCTTGTTCTGCTCTCTGCAATGTAAGAGGACCTATGTACCCTCTTGAATACAATAGCCTTCTCTGCATTGAAATCTTAGTTTTGCCAAGCATTTCTCTCACACAAAATTGTAACTCCAGAATCTTCCCTATAGAAGTCTTATCCCAGGACTAATACAATTTTAAATGTGTTTTGACACATTTAGAATTTTTAGAGTATTATTTTCCTAAATGGAACTATCATTATACACGATCAGACACTTTCTGTTTCCATTAATTCAGTCTAGGAATATGTCTTCTATAAACAGTACTAAATGATACTGCACATCAGGAAAACATTATCAACACAAACTGTACATAGACACATTGTTTCTCTACTTGAAGTGAGTTCACTGGAAAGCAGTAATCTACAAGCTCACCTGAGGACTCCTACTTCATTTTTGAAGGCCTGTAACTGTTGAGGTGTGGGTGCTGTCACATTCAACATTTTCACTGCCACATCGCCTGAAAGAAAATTGTTATTCCACAGTTTCAAATTATAAAATATGAAATATTGGGTGTTTTTGCTAATTGTCACAGTTTTATTTAACTACCTAATAATAAACTGTACTTTCCTTCTTCTTCCTGTTTTTTTTTAAAAGGTTTTTTGAGACAGAGTTTCTCTGTTTAACAGCTCTGGTCATCCTGGAACTTCTTCTGTAGATCAGGCTGACCTTGAACTCACCAAGATCAGCCTGCCTCTGAAAAGGCATGTGCCACTACTACCCCACACAAAGCAACTAACAGTGATACTCTTATACTACTATTTCAAAATATAAGCTAAAATATAGTCAACTTTTTTTTCTACTGGGAATTTCGTTTAGCCTATTAAGTACTCAGAGAATTTTTGTAATTATTTGACTATGCTAAATGAGGTATTATTTACTAAATGAATGCTGAAACTATGGACAACAGGTCCAATGGAGCTTAGCTTAAAATAAAAACTTGCAAATTTTTTCTCCAAAACTTATGGATTATTACAATGTTGACTGGAAAATTATTAAAAATTATAATCATACTTTAACTTTTTTTGGGGGGGTTATTTCGACACAGGGTTTCTCTGTGTAGCCTTGCCTGTTCTGGAAGTCTCTCTGTAGGCTGGCCTCAAACTCACAGAGATCCACCTGCCTCTACCTCCTGCTGGGATTAAACGCGTACGCCACCATGGCCAGGCTTAAAATGAACTCTCACACACCGCTAGCAGATGTGTACTGGTACAATCAATTGACAGCATTGATGGGAGATCTATAAAACTGTAAGCATGCATATGGTGTAGTTCTAGAATTCTCTCCCAGGCATATAGCCAGTAAAAAAAAGCATACATATGTTCTTCAAAAGGCATATACTAAAAATATACACTGTAGCATCATTCAGAATAGCACCAAACTGGAAACTATCCAAATGCTTATTATACAGCAGATGGGAGAAATCACGTTACAGTCACACAGTGGAATACTACTCAGAGATGAATGACAACATTGATGGACCTTACAATATTGAAAAAAAGGAGCCACACACAAAAAGATTACACATTATATCCTACTTAAGTCAAGATGTTAGTTATCTTTGCAAGGAGAGTGAATGAAGAGGGCACGTGGGGACCTTCTAGAAGGCTGTGTTATGCTTATTAATCACAAATGTATTCACTTGGTGAATTTCAATTATCTGAACACTTATAAATAATATAGGTATACATATACATAAAACCACTATCTATCTTTTTCTTAACTATCAAAGTAATATACTATTCATTCTATCAGCTATATCACTTAATACTGTTTACTACTTAAATGTTTCAGGAAAGCATAAATAAAAAATTCCTCATAATTATGGCACTCAGAAATAACCCTTGTCACGTATGTATATATATATACACATATATGTATCTATCCTAAGTTTATCTGTGTATGCAATATAAATACTTAATGAATGCATATGAAATGATAACCTTATGAGAATTCACATAGCATTTTTATAATGTTAATATTTTTATATAGATTTTTTTAAATAAAATATTCAAGTTTTTATGATTTTCCTCATGTATTACTCTACAAGTTAAATATAATAGAAAGTAAACGGTCTTCAGGTTTAAAGCAAGGAAGAATACCATTAAGTCTTTCTACAGAAAAGCTTGTTCCTTAAGCATAGCCATTCTTAATGTTTATTGTAAAAACCACCAAGACTTTCATAAGAATTTAAAATCTCAATATTATAATGAAGAAAACCCCATCCTGTTATGTGCAGGATACATCAACATTTACTACTCATTTGCCATGTTCCATGAAAAGCACTGGGCTGTATCGGAAGATCCTCACACCCATTCTCCAGAGTGTCATAATTTAAAGATATTTCTCTACTCAAGGAAATCTATGGTAAAGCTACAACAGTTATATACCAAAGCAGTATCTAGTTACATGCTTTACATAATCCCATGAGAAAAATAATTCAACTGATCCTAATCCCTGATGCAAGGCACTTTAAAGCACCCACACAAAATGTCCATGTAAACAGCAGTGCAGTACACCTTTTAAATAACATGACTCTACATGGCTTGACTAGACTTAAGGAAAATAAAATCCATCATTGCCACAGCTAAAAGGTGTGGTGGTATTTTACTTGTACTGAAATGTGATTTTAATTGTATGTTAATAAATAAAGTTGTCTGGGGGTCAGAGCTATTAGAGCCATAGCAAGTGCATGGCGGCGGTGGCGCACGCCTTTAAGGACCTGGAGGGCGGTACATTCAGGCAGTGACGAGGCAGTCACATGTTTGGGTTTACAACCAATGAGAAGGCAGAACAGCTAGACTATATAAAGACACACACAGGAAGTAGGTCCCCTTTTTTCGGAGAGCTCTCTTGGCTGAAGAGGATCCCTGAATCAGGAAGGGTGAGGCTCTTAGCTCTGACCTCTTGGCTTTCTTCTCTGAATCGGCTCTGTGTTTCTTATTTAATAAGACCGTTGGTTACATCTACATTTGGCGCCCAACGTGACAAGAATCCATTAAAAACCGCTTAACTTGGCTTGGCGGCAGGTCCGGTCTCCCGCCAGGGCGGCCGGCTCCCTAGCCCAGGCCCAGGCCGGCTTGGCCTCAGGCCAGACTAACTTTGAGCTACTTGCTTAAAGCCGGTGCTACAGACAATTCAGGCCTGCCCTGCCGAACAGGGCCCCTGCCTGTAAAGCCAACGCACGTGGTTGGAGCTTAAGGTAGCCAGAGCCAAGGCTTGACTAGGCTCAAGCGGGAACACGTGGCTGGATTCAAGTTCTTAGGCAGAACTTGTGGCTACGGTTCTTGCGTGTTCTCTCTCTCTCTCTCTCTGGATTCACACCTCGGACACTAGGAGGCTGTTTTGAAATTCCCTCGGATTGGTACTGTTCTACGAGGACTTGGTAAGTCACTTAACATATCGAATATTTTAAAGGAAACTATTTAAAAGAGAAATTTTTTTCCACATTTAAAAAAAAATGGGTTTTCTGTGTTCATTGGAAGAAAATTGGGCTTTGTTTGCAATTTTAGACAGTCTGACAATGGAACAGCTATATGAGAAGATTAATGTTGACCGAATTATGCATTTTATTACTATGTTTATTCTCATTTTACTATTTAAAAAGATAGTCAATTTAAGTGCCAGGATGACAGCTTTAGAAAAACTTGATAAACCTGTAAAAACTCAGACAGAAGAAACTAACAGTGAAGTTGCTTCAAGATTGGATCATAGGGTTACAGAAAGAAAGCCTGTTTTCACACAGTCACCCTTAGTTTGTCCAGTAACCATACAGCAGTTGCCTGATCAAATGACTACACAAAATATTTGGGCTCCAATTGAAATGTTAGATTTACGAAGGTTTAAGGAGGCAATAGTATCTTATGGCATGCATTCCCCATATGTAAAGCAAATGTTAAACTCTTGGTCAACATATAATAGGATTGTACCACAGGATTGGCGGGAGCTGGCACAAGCTGTTCTTGAACCCAGTCAAAGGCTTCAGTGGCTAACTTGGTTCAAGGATGAAGCTAAAAACATAGAAAAACAGTGGAGGGATAAAGGAATACAAGTCTGCCAGGATCAGCTTATTGGAGAAGGTCAATATGCTTCAGCACAAGCACAATGTTTATATGATGTCCAAACCCTAATTTTATGTCGAACAGCAGCCTTGAATGCATGGGACAGAGTTGAGGAACCAGGAAAAAAAACTGAGTCATTTACAAAGGTTGTACAAGACCCAAAAGAATCTTTCACAGATTTTTTACAAAGACTGGCTTCAGCAGTAAAGAGAATGGTCCCGGATTCAGAAGCTAGTAAGATAATAATTGAATCTTTGGCCTTTGAGAATGAGAATGCAGCATGCAAAACAATAATCAGGCCATTAAAGGCAAGATCTGCACCTTTGGAAGATTGGATTAGAGACACGGTTAATGTTGAAGCTCATGAGCATGATGATACGTGGGTAGGAGAAGCAATTTCAAAAGGTTTGAGGAATGTTAGATGTTTTGGATGTGGAAAGCAAGGACATTTGAAAAGGAACTGTAAACAGGTCATTCCTAGAAACAATGTTTCTTCAAGGAACAATGGCAACAGACTGCCCCTTCCTTCTGGAGTATGCAGAAGGTGTGGTAAGGGAAAACACTGGACCAACGAGTGTAGATCAACAAGGGACAGACAGGGTAATCCTTTGCCTCAGTCTTCGGGAAACTCCCAGAGGGGCCTCATGCAGGCCCCAATAGCAAATCCAGTTCAAACCTTTCCTGCAGTCATAGAGGAAACCCCAACTCAGAGCAATTAAATAACCAAATGCCTATTGGAATAAGTCATGCTGGTCAGGATGATGAAACAGAGAGAATAGAAAATTCAGGAGAAAACATAAAGAAAATTTTTTGGCAAACTTCTATTAATGAACAAAGACCAAAATTATCGATAAAAATAAATGGTGTTTTGTTGTCTGGTCTGGTAGACACAGGTGCGGACGTTACCATAATTGCACCAGAATTTTGGCACCCAACTTGGCCTCTTCAGGAGGTAAACATTCAACTGTTAGGAATTGGGACATTATCTCAGGTGAAACAGAGTGCAAGATGGCTCGAATGTATAGGTCCAGAAGGACAGAGAGCAAAATTAAAACCATATGTGGCTAACATAGCTATGAACCTGTGGGGTCGAGACTTGTTACAACAATGGAATACTCAGATTAACATCCCTCCAATCTCAGAAACAAATCATAAACTAGCACATGTTTCTGAGAGAAATATTAGAAGGCAATATTCTGAATGGTCACCAGGCATCCATATTATACAAGAACAGGGCACAACAACTGATGATCTTCCAAAGACATCAACAGCTCTACCTTTAAAATGGTTAACAGACAAGCCTGTATGGGTCCAGCAATGGCCTTTAACAACAGAGAAACTTCAGGCTTTAGAAGAGCTGGTGGAAGAACAGTTAAATGCTCAGCATATTGAAGAATCA